CTCCCTAACGGGTGTAACGGGTTCACCCGTTTTCGACCCAACACGACCCGTTAGCTTAACGGGTGGCTAACGGGTTCACCCATTTTCAACCCGACCTATTAAGCTCAACCCAAATACTGATAATTTCGTGCGAATTCGTGTTGTGTTAACAGGTCGTGTGCAATATTGCCAGGTCTAGTGTAGAGTGAGTGATGAAGTATGTTCCTCTACGATCCCACCTAAACCCATACACCGACGATTCTCCAGCAATGACATTTGGATAAAAAGGATCTTCTGTGTAGCTCTTCCGGCTCTTCTCTCCTTGCTCGTACACAACCTGGATGCCACATTTCTTTACCCAAATCTCTGGTCTCGGAAATACCTTAAAATCCACTTCATCGCCGCCTCGCAGTTGATCACCAAACCTCCAATGGCTTATCCATGTCACGTCCTCTTCGTCCCCGCTCGGGACGCCATGGTACAATGGGCCGTATGTCCACGCCACACCGCTAGTCTTATTGTCGACTTGAGCCATGATCGGCCTAAGTGATGGATCCCTAGCACTGTAACTGTACCCAGTGGCGAAGCCAGGATTTCATGTGTATGGGGGCCTCTTACAAATTATAAAGAATCAAAAATTCGAACTCACAATACATACGAAAAATAATATATATATCACATATGTCAAGAATTATATTGCTTATTGGTTGTAATCATAATTGTCCTCAACAAAGGGATAGACAAATACATTTTGAGCAAGAAAAATTGCAAGAGATAGACAAAGAGTAGCAATTTAGCATCTTTAAAGCTTTTCCCCCATTAAACCCAATAGAAAGAAAAAATCAAAATTTCACAAACTAATAAAAAACCTTAGGTCCCTTCATGCATTCATATCATACCTGAAAAAATGTTTTATGTAAAAATATTGACTAAGTTGAAAAATGGTTTTTTGGAATAATCATTTTCTCAAGATAATTTTTGGCGGCTTTTATTCCTTACACATCAAATAAGAAAACTTGATTTTATGAGATTTTAGTATGAAGTATATATTGACTTAATGAGCCATCATTTTTAGCCTAAATTGTATTTTGCACTAAAACCGATTTTTCATATTTTGATTTGGTGGGAATTTGATTTTCTAGTATTTTTATTTGAATCCAAATAGGGGATACTTCCTTATTTACATTGTAAACTTAAGTAAATGAAGTAATATAAAAATAAATGAAAGTAAAAGGACAAAGACATTTACTTGCACCACTACTAGTTGAGCAAAGGGGCAATTTGAATCACATCCTTGTGCCTTAATAGGTCCGCCACAACACATGTCGATATATATAACGTAAAATATTTAAAATACTATACATATAGAAATACATAACAATATATTACTTTTAAAATATAAAAAAATTGAGTGGGGGCCCGTGACCACACTGGGACCAGTGTGGCTCCGCCCCTGACTGTACCTAGAAGGAGTGTCGGATTTTGTATAGACCGCGAAGACGTTCAAGCCTCTGATCTTGAGGTTGGGAAGTAAAGGCACGGTGTAAGATACTGAGGGGCCATCCATATAATGGGTGAATTGTTTTGGAACCAGGTCCCCAGGAAGAAATGCGCTGAATATACCATTTTCATACAGTCCCTATGCCATGGAAATCAAAAAATATATATATTAGGGTCAACAACAACCGTATAAACTTTAAAAATATCAAAATAATACACCATTACAACTACATATTTAATATAAAACCCCTTAGAGAGCCTATTTGGGAAAAAACAACCCCCTCGATTAGCCACTTGTCATTCTTTTTTTCTTTCCGTGTGATCATTTTTCAACCTAAAAGAACAACATGATGTTTTTCTAAGTATTGGACTTGAAGGTTTTTCTTTAAAATGTAATATCATCATGGGCTTATATGTGAAAAGCCCTTTAAAAAAATATACCAAAAAAATACACGTATTTTTTCCATCCCATATATTACTAAGTAAGTATGCATATAAATCCATGAGTGGAGAGAGATACCTTGATGGGTTGCTTCCTCGTCTCATCAGTCGTAGCATTGACAAGCGCATCATGTGTAGTGTCCATAATTATTCGCATGGCTGCCCAGTTGGTTAAGCCCAAAAGGTTGATCATTTCTGCATCGCCAAATGCATCAATGGGTTCAAATTTGAAGCAGCCCTGAAGCAGAGCTAGGTTCCAGTTGGATCCGATGACGAAGCGGGTGGGTCGGTACGAAATTGATTGATACGATATTTTCTCCAGTGAGGTGCATCCGGATATTACAATACTATCCAACCCTAGGTAGCCTCACAAGGTATTTGAGCCTTGTGCATTGAGAAAAAGAAAGTGTATAGAGCCTCGTTAGACCTCTAATACCATCTGGTAGGCTGCAAATTGGGTTACCGCTTAGGTCTAACTTTTGCAATGCGTATAGGTTTTGAAATGCCCCAGGAAAATCATCATCAGAAAGATTGCAATTTGCAATACTTAAATCTACTAAGTTGCTTGGCAAATAAGAAGTCCAAAACAATTCTGGAATACTTTTTTGCCCTAGTACAACCTCTGGATCCGCTGTGGTATGGAGCAATTGATGAATTGGAACGCCATCCGCCTGAAATACTTTTAAAGATTTCATGTTCCTCATGTCCATTGGAAAATCATTAAGATTTGAGCAGCCAGAAATAATAAGTATTTTAAGGAATTTTAGCCCAGAAATGTTCGGCAACTTCCTAACGTTTTTGCAATCTTCCATATTCAACTCACTGAGTTTCTCCAGGTTTCCAATGGTTTCATGAACATCAATCAAGCTTGGACAATCTTTCAGAATCAGAACCTCTAGATTTGGAACAAACGAAAAGTCAGGGGTTTCTTCAAGACTATGGGAATGGCTGAGATTTAGGATCTTCATTGTTGGGAGATACTGTTGAAGACAAAAAAACAAAAAAAAAAAGGTAAACAGTTAGTTCTTACAAATGTATAAAAATCTAGCATTCAAAATACAACAGTTAATTCATACCTCAGCTGTATGATTCCAAAATCGTTTCAAGCTGCTATAGCACATTTCAAGAACAACCAAACTCTTCAATGAAAAATCATTGGGTAAAAATTCCAACTGAGATTGATGCCAACTCAACCATCTTAGCCCTTTTGGAAATTCTTGATAGTTTCCTTCAAGTTGTACATGACTAAGTTGGAGCAGCATTAGTTTGTTCATCTGTGCAAATGCATTTGTTTCGAAGATTACCTCAAGATCTGACCTTGAAAGAGCATTGTATGCAGTGTGCATACGCATGTCCAGAGTAAGACCTTCAATATTTTCTGTACCCTAATAACAAAAATTTGAAAATAAAATATTCGGTAATTACCCAAAATGGATGCACAAAAAGTAAAACATAAACCTACACATACACAAAAAAGTACGTTTCTTACACTCTTTTCTCTAAATACTTTGAAAGAATCCTTATGATGCCATAACCTACTGCGTTGCCCCGGCTGCTTGGATTCTAAGCGATCAATTCCCCTTCCCATGTCACGAATCATTTGATTCATCTGCACCTTGCTACATCTATCAATTTTTATCAAACATCTATCCATGAGATTTTGAATGCCAACAATTGTTTGGAAACCACAACCATCTAGTATTCTAATGATGACATCGTTGTCCATTCCAACAAAAAAGCATGCGATATGAAGGAATAAATTTCGGTCATGGTCATCTTGCAAAGAGTCATATATAGCTTATTCTGAGTTTCTTCATGATTTCATCGTTTGGTATAGCTTCCAATTTTTCTAATGCACTTTTCCATACAATCATAGTTTGCCCTGATAAAGAAGAACCCAAAATTTTAAGAGCTAAGGGAAGTCCTCCGCAGTGGTCTACTACCTTTTTTGAAATTTCCCTATATCCTTCAATAGGTTGATCCTGTCCGAAAGCATGCCAACTAAAGAGCTCCAGTGATTCACTGTCATTGAAAATTCCAATGTCATGCAGCTTTATAACTTGGTAATGGTCAGCTCTTAACAATCCTACATTGCTCGTTGTTATGATGATTTTACTTCCTGGAAAAAGCCGACCTTTCATCCCAAGTACTACATCCAATAATTGGTCCATATGATCCACATCATCAAGAACAAGAAGGATTCTTTTAGAGCTAATGACATCTTCAACCTTAGTTATTCCCTCACTTATACTGTTTATTTTCACTTTTCTTCCATCCAAAATATCACTAAGAAGTTGTTTTTGTACTTGAATAAAGCCATTGGATTGCTCTGAACTTCCTTTGATATTTTCAAGGAAACTGCTTGCTTCAAATCTTCTAAAGTTTGAATTATAAATGAATTTGGCAACGGTTGTCTTCCCTGTTCCACGCATTCCATAAATTGCAAGTACTTCAACATCAGTCGATTCATCTTGTAACCACGGAATAATGTTCTTGACTCGATAGTCGATTCCAATCAAGTGTGGGGCAACACTTAATAGCGTACGACTTAGCCTGTCTTCGATAACTTTAACAATTTTCTGGATAAACTTTGACTCATGCCTAGACAATTCACAACGAAGAATTAAATATGTCACGTGTATGTCTGGACTAAAAGTCTGACGGAAATAATATGACAAAGTTATTAAAGCTCAAACATGAGTGAACGAAAAAAAAACATGGATGCTGACAACACATCAAAGGAAAGCAAGAGAAAGAAATATAGCACAAACTAATCTACAATTGTTTTTCTTTTTGTGAATGGGGAACCTATTGATCTTCAAAATGCTTTAGTATCTGCTTTATTCACTTAAGTGAAAATTTGCTTGTGATTAAACCTCCTCATTTGGTCTTATTTTAAGTTGACCTATATATATGTCGCCAGTTTGATATATATGGTTGTCACTTAAAAAAAACAAAAAAAAAAACTGTTTCTGCTCAGTTGTAAAATAAAGTAGTTCATTGTTTGGTAAACGGTATTTTTAAAGTTCTATCAGTATAAAAAGTTGTGTCAAACCATTTGGTAAACTTTAATGTAAAATTGTTATAGTTGTGGATAGTGACTAAAATGAACATGATGATGAAAGTTTTATGTGCTAATTAGGTGGTGGAGGTGGGAGAGAGTGCGCGAGAACCACCAAGGAAAGGTAGACGATGTCATTTAAAAAAAATTAATGATGGTATTACGGGAAATTAAAAAAAATCATTAAATGCCTTCTCAACTTCTTGGTAAAGCAACATTCAAAAACAACCTACATGCTACTTTTAAAAGTTGGGAGACCGTTCCTTTTAAAATAATCATGATATTTATTTTTAACAATCACTTTAAACTGCTTAAATTTAAAGTGAATCAGATTTTTGGTTAAAAAAAATTAAAAACGGGCCTTAGACTTAATCAAAATCATTTGATGGAGTACATCTAGGATTGAAGTTATAGAAGTTGTTAAGTCAGCTTCAATTTATTCGTATTATTAATATTTTTTCTTTTTGGTGTGACTAGGAATAATTTTTGGATTTTAGTTTTATCTTAAGATAACTAATCAAACGCGTTAATTATAAAATGGACCAGTTGGAATAAAGATTACATACGTACCCATCAGCTTGGTTTTGTAAGACCATCCCTGCTATATCTGCAACTTCTGCAAGTGCTGCCCTCCATCTCTTTATCATGTCCAACGAGTGACGTGTTTCGTGTCTAGCAAATGCTGTTGCAAAACTTCCAGTCTGTTTCCTCACTAGGGCTGGATCGACATCATAAAATACTGGCAAAACGACATGGTTAGAGTCAGAGGTCGTCCTCTTGCGATCAAGGATCATCACAAGCTCGTCAAGGCACCAAAGCGAAGACACGTACTCTTTTGAAAACACAATCACAGAACATTTCGACTCTTTGATGGCTCTCCCCAACTCGGGCTTAATATCTTCTCCTCTCTTTACTTCATCGTCGTCTCGGAATGTGCGAAGGCCTGCCTTCACAAAGGCTGTGTAGAGGTGGTCAGAAAAATTCTTGCGAGTGTCTTTGCCTCTAAAACTCAAGAACACGTCATAACTAGACGGAGAAGGACGACAAGTAGTAGTAGTACTAGTACCACGAGATAAATTGCTATTCCCGTTACCATTACCTTTAGTAGTACTAGTACTAGTACCACTAGCGTTATCATATGTGATAACAGAAGCACCCCGGCGGGAAATAGAAGAAGGACCGCGAGAACCTGTAGAGCCTGCATGTGGAGGACCACCCTGAGAGAAGCCACGTCCGCGGCCTGATGAACGAGGTAGTGACACGGCAGCAGCAGTAGTGGCAGAATCAAGGTTGTGAGATTGAGAAGCGTAACACTTCTCCAAAGACAGCCATGTAGTCCGTGAAGTAGCGGAGTGAGCCACAATAGATAAAACAGAGGGAGTAAGCCAGGAATTAATCCAACTTTGGATCATCTCATCCTCTTTAGTCCACTTGACATATGCGGGATTAATAGTAAAGGTTATTTTGCCTTGAACATCAGTCAGATAATAGCCAGGGCAGGGCTTGGTCCCATCCACATAACCCATGAGGTTTCGACTTTGTAAGAAGGGAACAACTTGGGAAAGCCAAAGAGGATAATTGGTGCCATCGAATTTCATAGTATTTGACACAAGAGACGTTGAGGAGGAAGAAGACATGGATGGATGGATGGACAAAAAATTAAGTTGTATAATATAACAAGGAAAGAAGAATTAAACTGTTTGGAAGGAGGAGAAGTACTCGCTGGCCCTATGGATTCTGATCACTTCAACAAATTTACAATCCTCCCTCCCTCCCTCGGAAGATATCAAATCACTCCTTGTTGTGGTGTTTTTCAGAAGAAAGATGATGGTGTACACCGTGTATATATATACAACACAAGCAGCTCATGCTCATGAATGAATTTTCTTTTATATCTCTTGTAAGTTTCCAACACATTCTAGTTAATTACTAGAAAATAATATTTTTAATTAATTTTTGCAAGAGATGTAAGCAAACGTCATCGATGCGTTTAGGGAGTTTGAAAATATTTGTTGACCCAACACACGTGTTGACTAAAAACAATGGATAACAAATAAATTTCAATTGAAAGAATCAAAGTTATTTCCAAAACTCAGTTAATTGTTAATTCAACCTTAAGAACTCAAATCTAAATCCTCATTTAAATTATCTGATTCAATTATTAATGATATAGATCTTATCTTTTGGAAAAAGTCTTTTGATACTTCTCAAATTGTCATGCGCATGCACATGTATTTATTTATTAATATTATACTCACGGTCCATAAAATATTAGTCATGTCTCCTACTTTTATATTATAGCATGTGAATTAGTGGCATAACGTGGTGTGACGGTCACACTCGAGTATGTGTGTTTGATGAAAATCAGGGCCTATAATTAAAATAATAATTAGAAAATCAACTCTTCTAATGATTCTTAAAAGAGATTCACACAAACGTGGTTAGGGTGTTTGAAATTTTTCGATGACCTAATACTACTTCTACTTGAGGTAGAATGGAGTTCTTATATATATAGTTATTTTCTCATCTAGATATCTGTATGTTATTAGCGTGCGGATGCTATTATAAATATGAAAGAAAACAGGGAGGGGTAGTAAAAAATACATAACCTCCAGACGTCCGTAGAATAATTTTTGTATATATATATAAAAGAAACAAAACCCCTTCAAAGTTTGTTACAAATAGGACATCAATTGTTTAGTTTTGATAAATTTACAATCTGGCCTGCGCTAGCTCTTGCTGGGGAAGGTAAGGTGGTCAAAGGGGAGGAGATTGCTGGGAAGGGCTGGGAATTTAATAGAGAATGTCCAACAACTAATGCGGAATTTCCACCATGTTCCGTCAATTGGTTAGAGGAAAGTCCCACCCAAGTTTTACATATGAGAAATTATATTATAGTGTGATACGGTATCACCATGTCAACATATGATACTTCCATTCAAATTTTGTCACGTGTCATATTTTAAATAAAATTAAAACTATTTGTACAATTGAACTTTGGCTTCCAATTTGACCATTTATAATAAAATTAGAAAAGAACAAAAGAAAAAATCCTTCAACTGGCAGCCCCCATCCCTATTATATTCGCAATCCTTCAATTGGCAGAGATAAGGGAACGAGGGGGAGGAGGCAGCAGGTATGGTTACCGTCAAGATTGACTGGAGTATTTTTAATTTTATTTTTAAAGGATAAAATTGGAGGTTAAAGTCCAGCTGTATAAATAGTTTTAACTTTCTTTTAAATGTGACAAATTTTAAATAGAAGTATCATATGCTAACGTGATAGTACAGTACCACTCTATAATCTCATGATGGATAACAAAAACTCTACCAGTCGCCCTTGCCAGATTCTTAACCAATTCATCCTCATCTCTTAAGTTTTAATGTTTCCTTTTTATTTTTATTTTTTTGTGGAGATAAAGACGATAGATTGCATTCATAATTCATGCACAAAGGTCATTATGTGAGATCCCACATCGACCAACGGAGAGGGGGTGATGTGTCTTATATGTACATGCCCGCCTCCATCTAGCACGAGGCCTTTTGGGAGCTCACTGGCTTCGGAGTCATGAGAACTTCGAAGTTAAGCGAGTTGGGGCTAGAGCAGTCCCAGGATGGGTGACCCATTGGGAAGTTGCTCGTGAGTTCCCAGAAACAAAACCGTGAGGGCAGAGCGGGGGGCCCAAAGTGGACAATATCGTGCTACGGCGGAGCCGATTCCGGGATGTGAAAATTTAGTATTAGAGCCACTCTACCGTGTGGTGCGAGTGTGTCGACGAGGACGTCGGGCCCCTAAGGGGGGTGGATTGTGAGATCCCACATCGACCAACGGAGAGAGGGTGATGTGCCTTATATGTACATGCTCGTCTCCATCTAGCACGAGGCCTAACTCTGAAGCCAGTGAGTTGGGGCTAGAGCAATCCCAGGATGGGTGACTCACTAGGAAGTTGCTCATAAATTCCCAAAAACAAAACCGTGAGGGCAGAGAAGGGGGCCCAAAACGAACAATATCGTGCTACGGCGGAGTCGATTCCGGGATGTGACACATTAGCCACAAGAGCCACTACAAATACATATACAAATATGGAAGTGCAGTAACCACAAAAGTTTAATCCAAATAAGAAAAACTTATCTGACAACATCAGGCGCGCAAGTGTACCTCCACACATATTCATGTTTCCTTTTTCAATTTAGAGTTTGTGAGCTTAGGATTTAATGAACAACTTTGATGAGTGTAATTTATAAATGCACCCATATGTTATGAGAGCCAGCTGCCTATCGGTTGACTTTCTAGATTATTCATGTTCATGTTTGGCTTCTCTTAAATTTTTTTTTTTCAATGGCATCTTCTGGCACTTCTTTCTTCCTCCTCATCCACCGTCAGCGCTTCCTCCACCCCAATATCCCCAATCTTGTCTCTGTGAAACCCACTGAGTCCAATTTCCTAGTATGGCAGGTTAAGCCCTTTTTTATAGGGCATATGAAAAAAAAAAACAAAAAAAAGAGGAGAACTGCATTATTCATCATATTGGATCAACTCATCGCCACCCAGAAATCTTCAAACACCCTAAAGGCGTCATTGACATTGGCATCTTCCCGTTAGTGATATACTTGAAATATATGGTGGAATAATAATAAATAAAAGAATTGCATTCTTTATTCATCATGGTTGGTGAACTCTTCGCCACCAGAGATCATTTAAAGACAGATAAGAATAATAATAATAATAATAATAAAAAACTCGGCTTAATCTATGTATAAAAAGTCAATGGGATTCTCCTAAAAAATAAAAGTCAATGGGCTTATGTCTGGAAATTATGAATTGCAAGGGCTGAAATCGTATCGTAGCAAGCAACCATTCTCTCTATTTACACTAGATCAGAAAATAAAAAATAAAAGAACTGCATTCTTTAATCTTCATGGTCGGTGAACTCATTGCCACCAGATATTCCAAAACGCGTCATTGACATTTGCATATCTTGTTCCTAGAATATATAACTGGAAAAATAAAAGTTTGTGGTTCCAACCTATGATCAGTTCCTTCTAAAAATTTGTACGCACATCTTCATTTCAAGGGCAGAGATTTGCATGTTATTCCATGGCTCTTGGTAAATCAGCTGATCAGAGTCAAAACGCCTCTCATCCTCCACACAGCTATGACGTGTTCTTGAGTTTCAGAGGCGAAGACACTCGCAAGACTTTTACTGATCATCTCTACACAGCCTTTGTAAATGCAGGCTTTCGCACATTTAGAGATGACGATGAACTCGAAAGAGGAGAAGATATCAAGCCAGAACTGCAGAAGGCCATCCAGCAATCGCGAAGTTCTGTCATTGTGTTTTCAAAAAACTACGCGTCTTCCCGATGGTGCCTTGACGAACTTGTCATGATCCTCGAACGCAAAAGGACGTCAGATCATGTAGTTTTACCAGTCTTCTACGACGTAGACCCATCTCAAGTGAGGAAGCCGAAGGCAAGTCTTGCAACAGCTTTTGTAAAAAATGTGTCCTTGAAGGTCAAGGTGGAGAAACGGAGGGCTGCACTTACTGAAGTTGCAGATCTAGCAGGGATGGTCTTGCAAAATCAAGCTGATGGGTAATTAATTAATTTCTTTTATTACAACTCGTACATATATGCATTTTTTTAAAAAGAGAATTATATATATGACCTTGGATTATATTAGATCTCCTTCTAGATTAATTGGTAAAAAATTTATAGATAGAGGTTATTTGGTGCTATTTTTCTCTCCTTTTTGTGTTCCCAAATATAATATTATATGGTTTGTTTTTAATTGGTACCTGAACATTGACTTTCACCAAACGTTATTTGTCCCAATTTAGTCTATAAATAGTACCAAATAAATATATAAAAATTAACACATCTCATGGGCAATTTTGGTACTTGAAACATATTGTTCATATGTGTATGATTGATAATGATGAGGAGGCGGACATGGATTTAGCAAAGTTAGCTAGAGAGGATGTGCTCCCCACTCTGCACCCTAGTTCGAATCCCCTTTCCCGTAATTAGATTAGTTTAAAGTAGAATATCGCTTGTAATAAAAAATAAAAAATAGATAACGAGGAGAAAGACACAAAATTGCCATAAGGTTTATAAATTGTTTTTACAAAGTTTGATTTTGTACTTATTAAATTTAAATGATTAATTGAGGTGCAGACATGGACTTAGTCAAGTTTGCTAGAGCGGATGCGCTCCTCACTTTGTGTCCGAGTTCGATTCCCCCTCTCTACTCTGTATAAAATAATAAATAAATAAAAAGTTTGGCATGTTGTTTCCATGAGACTTAATTTAATTATCCTTCCCTTGTTTTCCATCTTGATTGCAATTTTCTAGGCACGAGTCAAAATTCATCAAGAAAATTGTTAAAGTGATTGAAGGCAAATTAAGTCGCACTGCATTCAATGTTGCCCCACACCTGATTGGAATCCATTCTCGAGTTCAAGATATTAATTTATGGTTACATGATGGATCAACTAGAGTTAGAGTACTTCTCATTTATGGGATGCGTGGAATAGGGAAGACAACCCTTGCAAAATTCGTTTACAATATAAATTTCAAAAGGTATGAGGGAGGCAGTTTCCTGGAAAATATAAAAGAACATTCAAAGCAAACAAATGGTTTGGTACAAATACAGAAGAAACTTCTTTCTGATGTTTTGAACGGCAAAAGAGTGAAAGTAGGGAATATTAGCGAGGGAATAATTAAGATTGAAGATGCTCTTAGCTCTAAGAGAGTTCTTCTCGTTTTCGATGATGTGGATCATGTCGAACAATTAGATGCAGTACTTAGGATGCAAGGTCAGTTTTGTCCAGGAAGCAAAATCATCATCACAACTAGCCACGCAGCTTTGTTAAATGCTAGCCACCAAGCCATTAAGGTGCATAACCTTGAAACTTTTAGTAGCAATGAGTCACTGGAGCTCTTCAGTTGGCATGCATTCGGGCAAGACCATCCCGAAAAAGATTACATGGAACTTTCAGAAAAGATGGTAAACCTTAGCGGAGGACTTCCATTAGCTTTGAAGATTTTGGGTACTTCTTTATCAGGGAAGAGTACAGTTGTATGGGAAAGTGCATTAAACAAATTGGAAGCCATTCCAAATGGTGAAATATTGAATAAACTCAGAATAAGCTACGACTCTTTACAAGACGAACATGATCGAAGTTTATTTCTCCACATTGCATGTTTCTTCATCGGAATGGAGAAAGACGTGATTGTTCGAATACTAGATAGTTGTGGCTTCTACACAATTGTTGGCATTCAAAATCTCATTGATAGATGTCTGGTAACAGTTGATGAATATAACAAGGTGCGTATGCATTACATGATCCGGGACATGGGACGAGGTATTGTTCACCTAGAATCAAAGGAGCCTGGGGAACGTAGTAGATTGTGGAATCACAAAGATTCTTTCAAAGTACTGAAAGAAAAGAATGTAAGATATATTTTGTGAAATACTTTTTTTGTATGCATCTGTGCAGTGTTCGTTAATCAACTTACAGAAGTGTTTCTTTTATCTTTTTGTATTAGGGTACACAAACAATTGAAGGCCTTGTCCTGAACATGGGAATGCATCCTGCATATTGTACTCCACGAAATTCGAATGAGGTAACGTTGGAAACCGATGCATTTGCAAGCATGCACAGACTAAGACTAATCCAACTTAGTCATGTACGTCTCATTGGACGCTACAAAGAATTTCCAACAAAACTAAGATGGTTGTGTTGGAATGAGTTTCCATTTGATTATCTACCCAATGATCTTACATTGGAAAGCCTGGTTGTTCTTGAAATGTGCTATAGCAACTTGAGACAAGTCTGGAAGGGAAAAAAGGTATGGGATCTAGACAATATATTTCCCTTTTCTTTAACTTTTTTTGAGCTTATATTTTGTACATTTAAAGAATTTGATCGACTCCTTCCCTTTTTACTTTGTTTGTTGGCAGTATCTTCCATCATTGAAGATCCTAAACCTCAGTAATTCCCATCGCCTTACCGGAACCCCTGATTTTTCCCATGTCCCCAATCTAGAAAGCCTTACTCTTAAAGACTGTACAAACTTGGTTGATGTTGAATCCATTGGAGACCTAAAGAAACTTGTTTATTTAAATATGGAAGATTGCAAAAATATCAGAAAGCTCCCAAAGAACATTTTTACGCTAAAAGTCCTTGAAACACTTATCATATCTGGTTGCTCAAGTCTTAATGAGTTTCCACTAGAGATGGGGAAAATGGAATCTCTGAAAGTGCTTCAAGGAGATGGAGTTCCAATATATTGCTTACTCACTACGATTGTGGAGGTCAAATTACAACCAAGAAAAAATCCAGAGACATATTGGACTAGTTATTTACCATGCAATTTAGTGGAATTAAGTCTTAGTGACTGCAATCTCTCTGATTATGATTTTCCTCGGGGTTTCGGTAACCTGTTCTCATTGCAAAGATTAAATCTAAGCTGTAATCCAATTTCTAGACTACCTGATTGCATCAGAGGCCTTAAGAGACTCGACGAACTCTCTTTTTCACAGTGTACGAGACTCGAGTTGCTTCGAGGGCTACCCCCTGTGGCAGAATTGATAGTAAATGGTTGCACATCATTGGAAACAGTAGCATTTCAACCAATGCCTTACAAACCAAAGATCATCTTGGATGAATCCAATTACAAGCTAGTTGAGATTGAGCACTACTTCAAGTTAGAACACATTGAACGAGTTGATGAAAGAATGATCAACCTTTTGAGCCTGGGCAAGTTGAAATCCACGGAAACCATTATGATGGATAGTACCCTACATGTGTTCAAAACTTGGATAAAGAGTAGGATGCATCCCATCCAGGTCTCTCTCTCTCTCTCTCTCTCTCTCTCTCTCTTTCATGCCACTCTAACCTTGTGTCACGTGATGAGAAAAATAGACGCATAGGGTGCATATGCATCCGTCCCATATATGTCTGTTTTTATATATACAAGATTTACTTCACTAATATATTTTGATTTCCTTGGCATAGGGACTGAATGAATATGGTATATTCAGCACATTTCTTCCTGGAAATGAGGTTCCAGGCCTTTTCAGCCATAGAAGTAATACACAGTCGTCAATATCTTTAACCGTGCCTATACGTGGCAATCTCAAGATTCGGGGCTTGAACGTCTTCTCTGTCTATGCAAAGTCCAACAGTGATTCTCCTAAGAACATCAATGCCAATGTTGAATCAATACCTAACCCAATAGTTACAGCAGTTAAAGTTAGTAATGAAAATGGAAAGAATTTGAAGTGGGTATATGTCCCTTCATTCTTTGGCGTTCCAGGTGATGGGAAAGACATGGTATGGTTAAGCCATTGGAGGTTAGGAAGTCAATTATTAGATCGTGGCGATCGGGTGACTGTTTCAGTATTTACGAGTTTTGAGTTTCAGGTAAAAGAGTACGGCATTCAGCTTGTGTACGAGAAGATAGAATTGACGATGGAAGATGATAGAATTGACACAAGTCCTTCAAATATGGTGCTCCAAGGTATGTGGGTGGAGACGAGGATGAGAACTGAGATATTTTTCATCACTTTGAAATGGTAATCAATACAAAGCATATAGAAGACCAATAATGTTATTTGTACAACATTTACTAACCACCTCTCTTATAAAAGTGATACTCACCCGCCAATTTATATGGAAATGGGATCCACTTTTATTAGAGAAGTGGTTAATAATCTGTCCTCAGTAAATGTCGTAGAATTAGCATCTCTCATTGGAACAAGGTTAGCTCAATACAATAGAAAAAAAACAACTAATCACTACAATAGTTGACAATTTGACTAACAAACTTTGATTCAGGAACTAACTGTTGATTCTGCTGGGTTTGTTGGTTAGATCATTATGAGGCGGCAGATGTTCTAAGTTTCTCGATAGATGCTCCTTTTTCTCCATCCGTCATTGCTGGAGATTTTTCAAAAACTGATAAGATGTCAGGAACGGCAGCTGTTATAAGTTTCCTCCCGATAGATGATCCTTTTTCTCCATCTGTCATTGATGAAGATTTTTCAAAAACTGATAAGGTGATGTCAGGATCAGGAACATACTTCCTTAGCAATCGACCTGAAGAAATTGTTGTGTATAGATGGTTATGGTTCGATGACTTCGTCAGGGACGTTGAGGACAACGGATCCACCTCCCGTCAAAGAGAGGGAGGGAAGGCATTCAATTTCGGTTGGAATTACGTGGTCAGCTTCTTCACAGTGACAAAGAAAATTATTTGGAAAGCAACTCCCGAAAACTTACGTTGCGGCGGAACAGAAGGGTACTAAATGGAAGTTCCACCAACCCAACTGGGAAAGAAAGCCATGGAAGGCAAGGCCCATCGTAAACAGAACAAAATTGAAGCAAGGTGTTTTGATTTGATATGGATCGTTCAAATAACAGTATGTTATTTGTGGATTAGATTATGGTGGGTGATGGTCAAATAATGATGAAAACCCTATATATAATGGAAATAAATAAATTTAAAAAGGTGCATGTTGTGCGCACATTCTACAGTAGATGTGATGAGCTAGAGAGAGTTTAATTGTGGAATTACATAACATGATTATCCTAACTTATGCCTGCTGTTAATTAAATTCACGGTGCCAAATCATCACCGCATATAATGATTGGAATGTGGGGAGGAGGAAAAAGACTCTCAATTAGCAAACCATCATTGCTTATAGATATATATCTAGCTAGATAATTGCCACTTTAATCACGATCAAAAGACCTTCGTATGTTTTGGTCTTGGGATGAGGTAGCTTCCCCTCTTCCTAAATTTTTCAAAACTCTAAAGGACCTTATAAAAAAGGGTTAATTTGACTTTAGTACCCTGAATTCTCACCCTTAATGCATGTTTTTCCATGCACTCTCAATTTTAACAATCATATATTCTTTTTAATTTTTTGCAATCTGATTTTGGCGATCAAAATTTCCCTTCATTGTCTACATGGTAGGCATGAGTCCCACCTTTTCGCTGGTTTCGATGTCAGTTAAGGGTTAATTTGACTTTAGTACCCTGAACTCTCACCCTTAATGCATGTTTTTCCATGCACTCTCAATTTTAACAAATGGTGTCTAACAAATTTCTCATTAGAATAAATATTAGGCATGATCGAAAATACCCTTTAACTGACATCGAAACCAGCGAAAAGGTGGGACTCATGCCTACCATGTAGACAATGAAGGGAAATTTTGATCGCCGAAATCAGATTGCAAAAAATTAAAAAGAATATATGATTGTTAAAATTGAGAGTGCATGGACAAACATGTTTTAAGAGTGAGAGTTTAGGGTACTAAATTGAAATTAACCCTATAAAAACGCATTTGAATTTCTTTTTATTTTTTAAACCATGACATCCAGAGATTACAAATCACACCTTCTAATTGTTTTTTTTAAAGAAAAAAAAAACAAATCACACCCTCTAATATTAATAGTAAAAGGAATAACCACAACGTTCCACTTGCAGCAATGCTTTTCTTTTGCTTAATTTCGATCCTGTCTTTTACCTTTTTTATCTTTCTTTTTATAGGTAACTTAAAAAGCTTGTGCATGCAACAAAGCAGGAGAGGGTGTGCACATGACACATGACACATGACACATGATCGCACAAACACAGTGGTGTCCAAGAGAATCCAACCAACAATGCTTCATCCAGGTACTTGTTTAATCAAAATAATCATTTCTGATTTCGGGTTATTATAAATTGATTATATAATTAATAAAAATCATCAATTAATAAAAAATAAAAATAAAATAAAAAAACAGTGATGATCCACAAAAGACAACAGAAAGAAAGAAAAAAGAAAAAAGAAATATCCATTTATATTTCCAAAACCTTGGAGCTTTTTGGTCGAGGGAAATCTCACTTTTGCTCATTGAAAACCCTAAGCATCTCTCTAATCCCAATTACCCTAATTAATTAAAGAACAAATTACTTTCTCTTCTTTTTATTCTTTTTCTCTTTTACCTTTCTTTCTTTTCCTGAAATTGCTTTTTGACCTTTTAGGACTGGAAAAAGAGGGGAAAAGTCGTTAAGCACTGAAAATTCATAATTAATCCGAGTCTAAAGATCTCAAAAAAAATTAAGAAATGTAACCGTTGAAGCCCAGGTCATCTAAAATGGCATCTTCTAGAGAATAATGAACACATGCGCATGCATAGCAATGGGGGGCAAATCAATCAATTAGGTTAACTTCAATGCCAGATATATATATCTCTCTCTCTCTCTTATAGAATAAAGTAATTCAAAGCTTTTATGGCACTAATGATTTTGATGCTTCTGGTTAGTTTGATAGTGTCTGTTTCATGGTGGCTTTAGCTTCAAGTATTTGAAGAACAAGTAAATGATTGCCTATAAATGGACATCACTGGAAACACCCAACATTCCCTTGGTATGCAGGGTCAAATTGGTATGTTCCTGCTCATCATGTGAGCTATGTTCAAATAAAGTCAAGGCCCATCTCATAAGAGCACTTCATGATTTGCTTTTTTGAGAAGAAGAAAAAAAAAGGGTTCTTCTTCTCTTTTTTGGGTTAGGTCGATCTTAGAATCCATTATGTGACATAATTTTCCACTATATATATACCTAATTAAGTATCATATATAAACCCACTGAAAAAATAACCTTTTTTTTTAAGATTTAAAAAAAGCTGCATATCAATGATCTCAGGTTCGAACTTGTATGATAAGTTGATAGTGTGTGTGAGAAACTCCCTTACAATTGAATCTTGAGTGCGAGTGCAAGAAGGATCAATATTTATCAATTTCTAAAGGACTTGACAACCAATAAAGGCTTAGTCAATATTAGTCAACTAAACAGACACACTATACAATTAAAATGATTTAGTAATATTTTTTTAATCAATTCAAATTGACCCTTGTTGATAATGGTTAGCCAACTCAAAGTATAAGAGCTCGTTCAAGAGTGATTCTAGATATACCAATAATCACTTCTCTGAAGAATCACTTCTCTATATAAGGGCCAGTTTGGCATTGCTGTGCTGTGAAAATAATCGCTGTCAGATTTGCTGTGAGAAAAATCAGCTGTGAGATAAAGCAGTTTGACGTTTGGTAAACTTTTTATTAAAAGTGTTGTTGGTACTAATTCCCACATAATCAGAAAATGATTGCCGCATAATCAGAAAATGATTGCCGCATAATCATTAAACCCAACGCCTCTTCGAAACTTATTCATGCATAATCAGAAAATGAAAGCATTTCATTAGCTGCTTTCCCTTATAGCTTTCTCTCACATCAATTTTTAACAATAAATGATTTTCTCGTAGTTTACCAAACGGGCTAGGCTTCCCAAAAAATTTTAAAAATCACTTATCACCCCAAATAAGCAATGCCAAACGGGCACTAAGTGGTTTTGAGTGATTTTATAGATAATCACATGGAAGGTATTTCTCCCCAAAATTGCTTAAAGTGATTTATATAAATAAGCACGGAAGAGACGCTTCTCCTCATAATCACTCCCAAACAAACGAGTATTAAGTTTGAGCGTAATATAGGTTTAACAATGACCCCAGCATTTTGCCTTCTTTTTTACCTTTTTATAACATTTGATGTCGGCTTAGGCTCAATAACACCGGTAGTGGCAACTCCACCACCTAAAACCAAAAAAAAAAATCATCACTTAATAATCACTCAATGAGATACTAATAGAATAACAATTAATTATTGCTCTTCTAGAGAGTTTTTATTTTATTTTTAAAGAACGTTAGGCCAAGCATGCAAGACAGGAAGAAGGGTATAAAATATATAAACACAGATTAAACAAAGAGGCAGGACGAATGGTATCTATCTATCTTCTGCAGATCCATAAATATAATTAAATTAATCTTAAAAGCAATCAGCATTAGGGTTCCAAGATGTACCTTCTCTTCCCAGTTTCCATTGTTTCATCAGCAAACGTGCCAGTCTCCTCCATCGTTTTTCTAAATTTGGCAGCTACAATGTCAAATTGACCACCCCACGTACTTGGTTTAATAATAATAATAATAATGCAAATAATTTCTAAGTGTCGGTGCTGCACAGTCCATGTTCCTTTACACATTGCACACAGAGAGTGCTTTGTTTTGCTTTTGTAAGCATTCCGTGCGCAAGGTGTCAAAACTACACCAATCAGTCATATGTTCTTTTTCCTACTTAGATAATTTGCATACGATTTTGGATAAAATAAAATAAAATCACTTACTAAAAAGAACCAAAATTCATCAATTAGAAAATATAGACTTATTAACTCTAGCGATCTGATAGGTTCGCGAGGATATGAAATCTCATACTTATTAACCACAAAGTGTGGTGCGGTTGGCAAACTGTCACTTCCAACTGGTGAGTTACTTGTTGCCTCAATAGCATAGGTTCAAAATCCATTGAAAGCACTTTGTGGCTAGATACAAGCCGAATCTCTAGTGGAGATTAATTCCACCCTTCAGGTGTGGAGACACCTTGTGATATTTACCAAAATTAAAAATAAAAATCTCATACTTATTTCGGATAAGCTTGTCTTAGTTAAATCATTGTCGAAAATACATTCACTCGTGTTTGCACTTAAAGTTTGACTATCTTTCTCGAATTAAAAAAAAATTCGTAAAATGAGCTTTCTAATTAATCTTTCTTTTTTACTTTAGTATCCACTGAATTTGGCTTTTAGAGAAAATTAGTATCGAACTTTACGTAAATTTTAATTATTATTCTTGTTTTCTTGAATTGGCTTTCTAATCTAATCTTCCTTTCAGGTGAAGCTATGATGGTGTGATGGTACGACGTCGCTTTGTGCAATATTTCAATAGCTATCAGTGTCATGGTTTTGGTGGCGCAATAATGTGCATGCATGGTTTGCACTATACAAAAAGGCGACGACCAGACACAGCTTTTGTTGACCTCCGCCCTGAAATCTCGGGCGCCATTATCGGTAAGGAATAATACTAGCTGAATTTCCACTCCTTGTAAAAACTAATTAAATAAATAAATACTTGAATTTCAATTATCTATTTCTACTAAACAAATTTCTTGGACACCATGCATGAACACGCTTTTTTCCTGTTACATATTAAAAGAAGGACAATGATAATTTGACAAATATACACACACAAAAAATAGTCAAAGTAAAAAATTTCTCTAAACATCGTTGTATTCAGTGGTGATTCTAGAATTCGAAAGTCAGTTGAGCAAAACTTACATACTAAACTCGACGGTACGAATGAATTTCATTAATAAACATAAAAACATACACCTAATCAAGGAGGATGTAATGATCCTTACATTCGAATGCATCTCTATCCATAAATAAAAATATTACAAATGCAAAAACTAAAACTAAAACCAAAAGTAAATGCAATGCAAAATAAAATATAACTATCAATGCTTAGAACTTTTAAATTCTTCAATTGTCAATGCATTATCGATATTATTAGAAAACTCTCTTTCATTCCTAATTACACCCTAGAATACTCAATTTTAAATTAAAACTATAATTAAAGATATATAGAAAATGAAGGGAGAAAGAAGATGCTGATGTCGAGTAGCTAAAAGATAGAGAAAGATGATGTCGCATATTCAAAAGAGAAGGAGAGAGAAGATATGATGTAGAGTTTGTTTTTAGTTTTTTTTTTAAATTTTGGACTGCCCTGTGCACAGAACCGCCCCTGTTTGTATTGCTATGATTTTCCGCATATAATGTGGTCGACATTATTCTATCCATATGTCTCAAAATGCATAAGCTCTTGCCATGACCTAAGGGCATTTGGGCCAACAAACATCGATTGTTTTATAGCATATTGATCATATTCTATTTTAGTTCAATTATGTTTCTACTGGAATTAGAGTGGTGTTGAGTCTATTGACAGATTATTCAAGATTATTCAACTGTAGCATTTACAGTCTATATAGCATAGAATAAGGCAATCAATTTTAACCAAAAGAAAACAAAACCAGAGAGCGGTGGCACTGGCAAAGGAGGCAAGGGAGGCAGGGAAGCCAAGTCCAGTGTTCCCACTAGTGGAAGTAGCAAACACTAAACAGCTGGATGCAGCTGCACTCACTTGCATCACCAACAGACCAATTCCCATTTTTCTAATCTAAACAACCGAAAAAAAAAAACACCACTTTTTTACTCTCAAAGATTCAATCTTTTCACACAGTCCCCACCTTTCTCTGTCCTTCTCTGTCCTTCTCTCTCCTCTCTCTCTCTCTCACTGACAAGTGACTCAAACACAAACACAAAACACTGGAGACTCTGCAACTCAATCTCCAATTTCACAATGCCCTCCTTCTTCTTCATCTTCCTCCTGCTCTTTTTATCTTCTCAGCCCATTGCTACCTTAAGGCCAAACCATAGGGTCCTCCACCAGCCATTTCTGCCTCAAGACTCTTCCTCACCTCCCACTCAGTCCCCATCACCCTCCCCGCCTTCCCCACCTTCCCTCCCTTCAAACCCAACTCCCCCAAAGTACCCATTTTCCGGTTCTAACTCTACCCCTGCCGATTCCCCCTTTTTCCCATCCTACCCCTCCCCGCCACCTCCTCCTCCCTCCCCAACCACCGCCTTCGCCTCCTTCCCCGCCAACATCTCCTCCCTCATCGTCCCCAAATCCCCCTCCGGAAACTCCAGCGCCCACAAGCTCGTCGCCCTCACCATCGCCGCCGTGCTCTCCGCCGTCGTCGTCATCTCCCTCGCCGCCTTCTTCCTCTACCGCCGCAGACGACACAATAGCCGCAACTTCCCCGATGACGACGAGGACGACAAGTCGTTTATCAGATCCGAACACAGCAACAGGCTGTTTCAGCAGCCCAATCACAGCCACTCCTTCAGTGGGACCCACAAGCTCCGGACCGCCTCCTCCACCAGCTCCGAGTTCCTCTACCTGGGCACATTGGTCAGCTCACGCGGACTCGAGGACCCGGTCGACTCGTGCGGCAGTAATGGCCGCGTAGCCGAGTTAGAAACTCGGAAAGTCGAGTCGCCGGACCTCCAGCCGCTTCCGCCACTGGCTCTGCAGTCCTCGATGCTGAGCAATTGCGAGAATGCCGAACCGGGTTCGACCCGAGACCGAGACGAAGACGAGGACGAAGAAGAAGAAGAGTTCTACTCGCCCAGAGGGTCTTCGGGCGATCGAGAGAGCTTCAATGGAACTGGATCGGGGTCCAGGAGAGTTTTCGAGGCGGTGGCGGGTGGTGTTTTCGACCGGAGAAGCAGTGAATCAACGTCTTGCTCTTGCTCGTCTTCGAATTCGGGTTCGCCGTCACGGTCACAGTCTATCAGCCTCTCTCCGCCGGTGAGTTTGAGCCCCAACAGAAGATCAGAAGAGCCCAAGCCTCCTGAGCCCGCACCTACGTACCATGCGACGCGGTTTGGTAACGAGAATGTACGGTCTCCTTCGTTGACTCCAATGACTTCGCCAGAGGGAGCTGCGGACGATTACCCATCTACATCGGACCGAAAGAGACGGTCTCCCTCATTGTCGTCGCTATCTTTTTCACCGGAGAGAAGCTTGGAGAAGAACCCAGATGCATCAGCTAAAGTTTCGGTCGTTTCGGGCCAAAGTTCTCTGATTTCGTCACCGGAGATAGGTTTCGGAAAGAAGCCAGACGCATCAGCTAAAGTTTCAGTCGTTTCGGGCCAAAGTTCTCTGATTTCGTCACCGGAGATAGGTTTCGGAAAGAACCCAGGTGCATTACCGAAAATTTCGGTCGTTTCGGGCCAAAGTTCTCCGATTTCCTCACCAGAGAGAGGTTTGGGAAAGAACCCAGATTCATCATCACCGAGAACTTCGGTCGTTTCGGACCAAAGCTCGCCCATTTCGTCACCAGAGAGAAGTTTCGGAAAGAACCCAGAAGCGTCACCGAAAGTTTCGGCCTTTTCAGATCGTAATGAGCAGTCTCCTTCATCATCTTCATCTTATTCATCGTCACCAGAGAGAAGTTTTGGAAAGAACCCAGAAGCGTCACCGAAAGTTTCGGCCTTTTCAGATCGTAATGAGCAGTCTCCTTCATCATCTTCATCTTATTCATCGTCACCAGAGAGACGATCAAATGCTTCTGATCCAAAGGCCAAGTCTTTTTCACCGGAGAAAAGCCCAGCTGCATCACCAAGAATTTCAAGCGCTTCCGAATATATTCATTTGGATCCAAAAGTGCAGTCTCTCTCATCATCAGCTTCATCTTCGTTGTCTAACTCACCAGAGAGGGAGTTTGGGAACAATTCCGATGCTTCATCAAAACTTTCCAATGTTTCTCACCACACTACAGAGTCTTTGGTGAGACTTAGCGGTGGTTTAAAACATCCTATTTCAATGCCACCGCCTCCGCCACCGATGCCTCCTTCACTAAGACTGTGGGAAACTCCAAGTCCTAAAACACCGGTTGGCCAAGTGATGTCTAAGCCTCCAGCTCTCATACCTCCTTCAAGACCTTTTGTACTTCAGAACCCAGCAAAGGTCTCTGTTTCACCAGTGGAGTTGCCTCCAAGTTCTAATCCCTTGGAGCCTATTGAGGAGAATCCAAAACCCAAGTTAAAGCCATTGCATTGGGATAAAGTTCGAGCAAGCTCCGATCGCGAAATGGTGTGGGATCAGCTTAGATCAAGCTCTTTCAAGTAAGACATTGCACTCTCTCACTATGTAGTTTCACCTTATATTGTGCTGCAATCTGTATCTGATTTGCATTTTACTTGCTTTTCTTGTTATAGTACGCTTATAAATTATGCAGTACTTCGGTTGGTTGTATTGTGTTGCTCCACTAAATATGTGGAATTGGGGTGGTTGCAGGTTGAATGAAGAAATGATAGAGACATTGTTTGTTGTAAAAACACCAAACCCTAATCCAAAGGAAACGACCCCACGCACAGTTCTTCCCTCTCCAAACCAAGAGAACAGAGTACTTGATCCGAAAAAGTCGCAAAATATTGCAATCTCGCTAAGGGCACTCAATGTGACCATAGATGAAGTTTGTGAAGCGTTATTAGAAGGTATAAATCCGTTAATTTTTGGTTATTTCTTCTGAGTTATCTTCTTTTGGTTATAGCTTGAACTCACCCTTTAAATAACCTTGAGAATTTTGTGATTTTGGTTGGTCAGGAAAATATTTGAAACAAGCATTCAAATACTGTCTGTCTCTCTATTAGCATTATGTTCATATCCTATTGCTTCTACAAATTTATTGTACTGAAATATAGCAGTGATTCTTCTTAGAGGATTTCTAATTGCGAACTGAATGGTTTTTGATAAGTTTCGTGTGATGGTTGTAAATTCATGGTGCTTGTTGGTACTGGTTTTCAATGCAGGTAATTCTGATGCTCTTGGAACTGAATTACTTGAAAGTCTATTGAAGATGGCTCCAACCAAAGAAGAAGAGCGTAAGTTGAAGGAGTACAAAGATGATTCACCAGTTAAGCTTGGTACTGCTGAGAAATTTCTGAAAGAGTTGCTTGACGTTCCGTTTGCATTTAAAAGGGTGGAGGCAATGCTCTACATGACTAATTTTGAGTCTGAGATTGATTACCTTAAAAAGTCTTTTGAAACTCTAGAGGTAAATCACACCTCTCACTCTCTCTCTCTCTCACTGGTCCTGTTAATTTCTTTCCCTTTGTTGCATGTAATTTTAGTATCCTTTTTTATACTCATGCTAAGGTGCCTTCCGGTGTTATCTCACTGGAATTTCCTTTGTGTAGGCTGCCTGTGAAGAATTGAGGAACAGTAGGATGTTCTTGAAGCTTCTAGAAGCTGTGCTGAAGACTGGAAACAGGATGAATGTTGGGACAAACCGTGGTGATGCCCATGCCTTCAAACTTGACACACTCCTCAAGCTAGTCGATGTCAAGGGAGCTGATGGGAAAACCACACTCTTGCATTTTGTTGTACAAGAAATCATAAGAACTGAAGGTGCTCGTCTCACTGGTGGGAATCAAACTTCAAACCCAACTGTGAATGATGATGCTAAGTGTAGGAGGCTTGGCCTGCAAGTTGTTTCAGGTCTCAGTTCAGAGCTCACTAATGTGAAGAAGGCTGCTGCCATGGATTCTGATGTGCTTAGCACTGATGTTTCAAAGCTTTCTAAAGGAATTAGCGACATTCAGGAGGTTGTGCAATTAAATGAGAGAGCGGTATCAGATGAAAGCAGGCGGAAATTTTCAGAGTCAATGAACATGTTCATGAAAAAGGCCGAAGAGGAGATTATAAGACTTCAAGCTCAAGAAAGTGTTGCCTTGTCCCTAGTGAAGGAGATTACAGAGTACTTCCATGGGAACTCCGCAAGGGAAGAAGCTCACCCGTTCAGAATCTTCATGGTGGTCAGAGACTTTCTTACAATTCTTGACCGGGTATGTAAAGAAGTTGGTATGATAAATGAGCGAACGATAGTTAGTACTGCCCACAAATTTCCAGTTCCAGTAAATCCAATGCTACCACAAGTAATTCCAGTAAATCCAATGCTGCCCCAAGCACTTCCTGGAATGCATGGAAGGCAGCCGTACAGTTGGACTGACGATGAGAGCACATCTCCATAGTTTCCCGGGCTCATTTCAGAACGGCTTTTTGGTTCGATTTAGCAAGAAACTGCCTGAAGTAGGTGGTCGGAACAGGTTGAAGCTTAGAATGGTCCAGCTTGCATGCCAGGTTTTATATATAGCTTCTGGTTTTCCACCCTAATATTTGTACTTGTAAAAAAATTTCATGTAAGCGATTTTGCGTTCTATAGATAATATACGGAGGAAGGGATTTTATCTGGGAAGAATAAGTTGTATTTCGGATTAGTTTAATACTGTAGACCTGTCCAGAACGTTGATCATAGAAATGCTGTTTAAGGCAAGCAGAACCCATGGCTGTAGATAGTTTCTGTAAATGTTCTGTACTGTACCAAATCAAACCACTAATTTATTCTCTGTTAACTTTCTTATCCCCATTTATTCTTTGTAATTTAATCCTGGCATGCTTCGTGTTTGATTATGCAGTCAAATTGTTTTTTTAATTCGAATATTTAAAAGAAGACATGAAGCCTGAAGGGGTCGTTTTCCATGAAGCCTGAAGGCACCAAGCAAGCACACCATTGTAAATCCTGCGTGTTTGAAGGAAAAGATTCTGCTGCTTACAGGCAAATTGAAAATGGTGTGCTTGCTTGGTGCCTTTTGATAAGGGATACATCACATGATGTAAATCCTGCGTGTTTGAAGGAAAAGATTCTGCTGCTTACAGGCAAATTGAAAATGGTGTGCTTGCTTGGTGCCTTTTGATCCAACCAGAAAGTGACCTGCCTCCATTGAAATATCTATGCCTTTTTAACTGGACCCGAGTTTTTTTAGTGGAATATCCTGATCTTTAACCAACACAAGTAATAATAGGGCAGGAAGGAAAAGTTCCATTTCTATTGTCTTTTTCCTTTTGGATAACATTTTGTATTTTTCCTTATGGGCAAAAGAGGAGTTTGTGGAGGAGCAAAGACAGAAAACTGTGTGGGGTAAGGTAAAAGCAGCCTCTGTGTCCAAGATTTATTTTACCTAATCTGAATAGTAATTCTTTCACATGCACAAAATGAATCTGCACCCTTGACTTCGCTACACAAATCACAGATGAAATAAGTAGATTTGTGGTTTTGATTGACAATTTGATATTACAGGCACTACATATAAATATGAGCCCTTCTTTTGAATACATATATATCAACTGATAGGGTGAAGAAGATGAGGCGTACGCTTGCTCACCTTTTCCAAAAGTTTCAATTACAGGAGAAATATAAATATAGCCCATTTGTTCAAAGGCTCTTGTTCAAAGGTTTTTCTTTAAGATTTTGTTTTTTAACTTGTAACTAGCAACTATGAGCTTCTTCATTGCCTATTGTCTCGTACAATTAGTATTCGCGTTTATTTTCCGAAGCCTCTTGTTGAAAGCAAGGCTTGAGAATCCATGCGGTCTACTATATGGCGTGCTTCTTCCTCTGTTGCTGGAACCACATTTAGTATCCTAAATCCATTTTTCTTGGCCTTCGCCTCGGGACGCACAGTGAAGGTGAAATAAAATGTATTCGACACCTGTTTCAAACATGAGATAGTAAAAGATGTGCAGTTATCTAAAAGGAAAATTCATGAATGAATAGATCATCATAAAACTGAAAGTTCCTTCAAAGTGAAATGGGTATCTAGTACTGTAGCATTGCCAAACTTTAGCTTTCTTGTTCTTTGAACGTGGAGTTGGAGGACCATACCTCACTAGACCTGAGCTCAGGCCTGGTAACGTGAGCAACAACTTCAATATTAATCAGAGGCTGATCTGGATTAACTTCTGTGTAGAGGACACATGATTTGAAACGTAGGAAGTCTCCAACGTCCACCTACAATCAAGGGCCATTCAGAAAGCCAAAATAATAGGTTAAAGATAATTTGGATAAGATACTCGCCTAAGATAATAAATAACAAAAACAGTACCAGAAAATGCTTCACTGGAATTTCAAGTGAGGGAGAAGATAATGACTATGCGTAATGCTAGCAATTAAGGAGGATGTCAATGGGGTACTCACAGGTCTCAAGAAGTCAACGTGATCGACTTCTAGAAAGTAAGGCACTAAGCCTGCAAAGGCATAAGCTGTGGAGAAAGCCAATTCAAATGCACGGTGCATCAAAAACCCTCCAAAGATTCGACCATGGATGTTTCTCTGCTGTGGTTGGCAGATCAATGAGTTTTCCAAGCGGGTATCCCTCAGAAGAATGCTATCTCTGTCTGCCAAGGCAGGCATATCACAGAAGATCCTTCCCTCAGCCAACAGTGTTTCAAGTCTATTTACTTCTCCATTCTCAAACTCCCTTTTGTCTCCTCCTCTGCTCTTTCTTTTCCTCAGATTATTTCTGGCTTCTGCTTCCTCGAAAAGCAATTTTTCTCGTTTAGTTTCTGGTGAGATCCTATTAACTGGAGCAGCTTTCCCAGTTTTAGAATCACGAGCCACAAATATGAAGTTTGCTGAAAGAGCTACTGAGTCTGAATTGTCAGATCCTTCTGAAAAAAAAATTAAACAAAATCACTTATGCAAGTCTGCTCGGTCATTGTACTAAGCCCTTCCCTTCACATGAAGAGAAGCAAAACTTCAAAGGTAACACTACTAGCTGAGCAGGCAGATAATATCAATATCCCTTTTCTTTTTTCTTTCTAAGTTGACAATATTGGTCATAGTTCGAACTTCTTATAACAGTCACTTTGCAGTTCTTGTGGGTTTTAGTTTCAAGGTAAAGATTACACTAAACAGAGGCAAATGGTAAAGCTTACTTTCCATTAAACTCAAATTAGAAGGAAAAAAACATTGATGATAAGCAATTTTAATACTCATCAACGGATATATTTTAAAGAAAAGCACACTTTATAGAGGGAAATGCTTGAACTTTGAAACATTACCAAACTTCAAAGTTAGAAGTACCTTTAGAGGACTGGGTGACTTCTAATTGAATCTCAATAGATGATCGCCCAACCCATATGACAGCACCAACTATTTTTAGATCAATATCAACACTAATCGGCTTCTTCAGAACAATCTTGTCAACAGATGCAGTGACCAGCAAGAGTGGCCTTGTTGTGTTATCATCGTCAGAACAGTGCTGATCCATACAAAGGTATAAAATTAAAGTCGCTCACTTCACTAAAAGAAAAGCACAAACAAGAAATTCCACAGAAATTTACTTTAACATGAAATAAGCTAGCAACTCAGCTCATAATTATCAGGTCTCTTTAAAAGACAATTTTTTTCTAGCTTAGATCACTGCACATGACCACCACTCGGCTTCCCCACTCCCCCTTTGCATCATAATTATACATGTGCAAAAAGTACCAAAGTAATTCAGTGCTCTGTCTCTCTCTCTCTCACTTAAAGAAAAAGCATTCCAGATTATAGCAGCTCCATAGCATAATGCTATGTGTGAAAGAATCTAATTCCTGAAAACTAGGATTCAGCCAAAAAGTTGAAAACAACAGGGAAAAATAACATACAAGACATATCACTCATTACCAAACCCCAAGTTCACAATTAACAAACTAAAACCAGATAGTTCCTAACAATGTAAAGTTCGAAAGCTCAGGCCTACACATTGAAACTGCAATTCAACCAAACCAATCACAACCCAGTTCAAGTAATCAAATTTCAAGCACAACCCACATATCCAATTACTCTAAAGACTAAAAAAAACTGTACCTTGACAGAAATGGTTCCCGCTAAAGCATCAAGGTCCTCAAGCAATTTCCCAATTCTAACCTCATTCCAAGGATCTCTGTACTGCTCCCTCAATATATAATCGGAAGAGAAATTGTACAGAATTGTGGTCCTGCTCTGCGCCGGAGTCTTGTTGAGCAACTCGCTCTGTGGAGGAGCGTCTTTTGGTGGGTCCAAGAAGAACCTCTCGAAGATCTTAGATCTCGCTTCCCACAGTGCATTTGTCACCGGCGACTGGTACATTCCGGGCCACAAGCTTATGGGCTTTCGGGTGGAACCGTTGGCCCCATCTTGCGCCGAAGGCGGGTTCTCGAAAGGCGATGAAAAGGTTGAGACTACAGGAATGGCGGTGTTGGAATTGGAATTGGGAGGAGAGGAATTCAAGTCCATGGAATTTTGGGGGGTTTCGAGAATTGGGTTTCTGGGAAATTTTCAGGTGTGGCTTGTGGGTTTTAAACTGGTTTTGTTAATTTTGGTGGTTACAAGTTTGGTGGGTTTTAATTTTGAAGAAGTCAGCGTTGCTTTTATAGTTGAAGTTGTGAGCTTGCTTGCTTTTGATCATATTTAAAGCTGAGAACTGGCAGGTCATTCGGAGAAGACGATGGAGGCTTTTGATTATTCTTTGCATATTTTCCACGAAAGTGGGATGAACGTTTGAACGACAAGACTTGCACAGCACTACGACGAGTTGCTTTTGACGTTTGTAGCATTCCCAATTTTTATTTGACTAAAGTGATAATATTGATGAGTATAAATTTGTTCGATAAAGTTCAAATCAGTGCATTTGCCATTTGCATGGTCAACATGGGAAACATTTACATCAAACGGAGCTAGCTCCTGGCCAATCACGATATGTCACGCGTGATAATATTTTCATATAATAGACTGTGATTGGTCGAAAATAGTGTTTCATACAAGTTTTTTTAGTCAACATAGAACTCCATGAGGAATAAGTACGATTGTAAGCTCAATTAACATTCTTGGTCAATTTCCTTACAGTTTAAATTTGACGTTTCACTAACAAGATAAGACTCCACGAGAGAGATGGTGTATTGGTCTACTCCCTCGAAGGGTACGATAAATCTTAAAAATCTGATTCTGCCATACAAGCATATGGAAGGTTTTCTTTCAATGAGGTGCATATGGAAAGTTCTTTCCATTTCAACTACTTTTACACACTTTTATTTAATATTATTTTAACATTTTGGTTTCACTCAGAAAGACAAAAAAACCAGTTTATATTATAAGCAGAATCTCAGTCACAACTTACAATACATTAATTTGACACAAGTTGATTGAGGTATGCTGCCAATTAAAACAGGTTATGACACCCGCTAGCTATTCGGTTGGCCTCACCATTACAGATTATATAACATAAGGCAGACGACTACTTTGATTTCTTTATTCTATATATATTGACCATCTAGCTGTTGCCTCTTTTTTTTGAGTCCAAGGGTTCAGAATCCATGTGCTACCATAGGACGAGCTTCTTCCTCTGTTTCTGGGATCACATTCTTGATTTTGAAGTCCTTCTTCATCGTGGCCTTTGCCTCAAGACACCAAACCAGCAAAAGCATAAGCTGTTGAGAAAGCCAATTTGAAAGCCCGGTAAATCAGAAACCCTCCAAAGACTCGACCATGCATGTTCCTGTGCTGTGGCTGGCATATCAGAGAGCTTTCGAGGCGGGTTTCCCTCATGAGAATGCTTTCTCTGTCTGCCAAGGATGGCATGTTGTTGAAGATCCATCCCTCAGCCAACATTGCTTCAACTCTATTTTTGGTGATTAGTACCTCCCCATTCTCCAACTCTTTCCCTCTCTTGCTTTTCCTCAAGCTGTTTCTTGCTTCGGTTTCTTCGAAAAGAGCCTTTTCTTGCTTAGTTTCGGGCAAAAGACGGTTCACTGGTACGGCTTCCCCTGTCTTTGAGTCAACGGCCACACATATGAATGTGGCTGTAAGAGCCTCCGAGTCTGAAGCATCCTCAGGGTCCTCTGTATACAAAACCACAATTACTTGTATAGTTGTGTACAAAAAGAGTAATTCTAGTACATTACACATGTAGGAACTTACTACGTTGTTGACCACCTCTGCGAAAGATGCGATCAATAAATACAGTACAATAAAATAATTATATTGACGTACCTTGAGAGGGTTGAGTGACTTCTATAGTTGGATTTCAATTGATGACCTCCCAACCCAGATGACATCACCTACTATTTTCATATCAATGCTGACACTTAGCGGCTTCTTCAGGACAATCTTATCAACAGCAGCCGTGACCAGAAAGAGCGGCCGTGTTTTGCTACCATCATCGGAACAATGCTGATCATCCACAAGAAAATTAACAGATGATCAATTACGAATTACTATTTTGTAGTGATGAAGGTTGCAATTTTAGTCCAATTTTAATAAGAAAGTGACATGATAAATACCTTGACCGATATCGTGGTAGCCAAGGCATCAAGGTCTTGCAGCATTCTCCCAATTCTAACTTCATTCCATGGATCCCTATAATGCTCTCTCAAAATATAATCTGATGAAAAGTTATATAAAATGCTTGTCCTACTTTGAGATGGAGTTTTTGTGAGCCATTGGCTCTGTGGAGGAGGGCATCTTTTGGTGGGTCAAGTCTTGCGTGCCACAGAGCATTTGTCACTGGTGAGAGATAAATACCAGCCTTTTGGGTTTTTGGACACAAGATTTTAACTTGTTCATCAATGGAGGGCTCTCAAGAGCAATGAGGATAGCGATGATGAAACTAGATCCATGGGATTTTAGCTTAAGTTATTTCTCTGATGGTTAAGGCTTATGTCTCTGTCCTAATAAGAGAAGTGGGTTCCATTGGCTTCAATTTTGGGGCAGTTATAAGGAGCAAACTTTGCAAATTATGACATATTTAATTATATTTTTCCAAATTGAGGAATCATTATATTATATGAGAAATTTGTGTTGAAATCTAGAGTTTCCTTACCAATAAAGAATTGCTAAAAATTGTTGATTTTTGACTCTATGTCCCACACCAAAGGTTATATAATGCCTTTTTATGAGAGAAAAAAGGGTTATTTTTTTTTTCTTTGGGTTGAAGATGGTTCAATTTGTTATTCCAGGCTTTTAAGTGCTATAGCATCTACTTCCAAGTACATTTTTCACTAAAGCGAGCGTGAATGACTAATTGTCGTTAGATGTGTGAATATTCTGTAGTAGGTCATACGATCCAACAAATTGGGAGTGACAAAATGATATTATCTTACTATGAAAAGGCAAGATTCTCTAATTTCAAGCTAGTACTTACGACTAAAAGATAACTATATTAAGATGAGTTGTTCTTGTGTACGTAAATGACGTTATTGATGAATGAATGTGAATTTTGTCACGAGGCACATGACCCTGACAAATTGGAAGTGTTATAATTATAATCGTGCTATCAAATAAGCGAGAAGACAATATACAAAGATCAAATAATATGATAACGAATAAATGATGCCCCAAAAATCAACCCAGACAAATAACAATCAATTTGAATTTGTTGGTCTTAATTTAGTTTGTTGTTACCTTAGCTCTAGTCTTTTCTATATTGGAAGAGATTCAAGTTTGACCTCCCCTCCTTCCTTGATAGAAAAAAAAGTAAGCGATTAAGCTTCTTTGTTGCTGCATTTTTCAGATCACTGTTGGACATATTTTTTTCAACAAAAGAGCATTAATAATTTTTATTGAAAGAACTTCTCACTAAGTTAGGATATGATTCACAAACTCGGTACCTACATTGGACTGACATATGGTAAAGCAAATATATATATATATAATAACTTTAATTTTAATAGTTTGATTTTCAATAATTAAAAGCATAACCAAATCAGCAAATGAACAGAACAAACCAAATAAGGAGCAAGAATTATCAAGCAATATATTTCTCCATCTAAAGCTACTATAAATTTGGAGTGAACCAACCGAGACGAGAGCGTACAGACACATTAACACTAGGAAAAGATCGCACAATTCTCCCAATATTAAGGTAGAATACGCCATTTTCGGGAGATACGTATGTGTCGAAGGAGTGTGTGGATACTCAAGACATCATTTGTTGAAAAAAAAAAATGGAATTCCCATCTAACTCATCTGTGAAGTCGCTGGATGGAAGAGACAAGCTACCATTGTTTGCTAAAATACTAGCTGCTCATCCAAGCATCCTACCTTAACAAAGTTGTCATTGTTTGGCTCAACTTTGTATATCTTAAAATCACATGTCCTCGCATATATAGCCATTATCATCACCACCACTCATCCCAGTGTTGAGAGTACTTGTCCCACGTTAAAAAGTTAAGGGACCTAATCTGGGTTTTATAAGGAGTTGGGCTACTTCCTCCATTGCCAATTGATTTTGGAGTGGAACCTCAACTTCCTTCACCCACGAACATCCTCGTCCTCATCCTCAATATTGCCCCCATCATCATCATCATCATCATCCACATTGCCCTCATCACCACCTTCTCATTCTACCAAACGTGGGAAGATTGACCCTTTTAAGTGAATTACACAATCATCATGTTATTCCTGAGTAGGATGAAGTACGCCTATGTGATAGAGATAACACAATTTTATAACATTTACAAAAGACACAACGTTTCCAGCCGCGGGTTCCTACAAACTTTGGGAAATCTTGGAAATGTTTTCAAGGTGGGAAGTTGGTGTTGGGCTCCTGAGATGGGGTTTAGTAGAAACATATGAGATTTTTTTTCCTCGACCATAACTGTTCGGTTCATTTTTACGCATGATTTTTCATGTTATTCACCTATTATTTTGAGTTAGTTCTTGACTTTTTATAGCTTTTTACTTCCTTTTTGTGTTTTCTTAGATTTTACCTTGGTTAGAATGAAAATGAGCTAAAAGTGCATTATTGGTTATAAATTCTGTTTTTGTTCATTTTCGTAGGTCAACTTCTTGGCCCGGGATCAACATGCTCTGGTACTCGGATGAGGTGAAGATCTTCATGAAACTTATTCCAACGGATGTTAACTACAACATATCCAAATTTGAGCTTCATTGGACAAGTATTGCCTATCCAACCAATCCAGCATGTTACCACAGCTCTGGAAATCCGAAGTGCTCCAGCTTTTACCTCCATATTGTTATCTTGATTCTTCTTGTTACCATAACACTTGGTAACAAGAAATTAC